ACTTAAACCAGTTTAAGGCTTGACCCCTTATGCCGTAATGGTCCAGCTTGCGCAAGAGTATGGAATGATCCACAAGGTCGAAAGCTTTGCTGAAATCGATTAAAAGAAGTAAAGTTACCTGCTTTTTAGACATTGAATTAAGAATGGTGTCTTTTGCGTTGAGAAGAGCATGTTCACAAGACCTACCCGGGCGAAAACCGTATTGGTTTTCACATAGTATGCTGTATTTATCTAAAAAACTTATAACTCGGTTATGCATTAGCTTTTCAAATACTTTAGAGAAAGAAGCAAGAAGAGATATTGGTCTGTAATTTTTTATGTCAGATTTAGATCCACCTTTGTGAATTGGGACCACCTTCGCTTCTTTCAAAGCCTGTGGAAAGATCCCCTGTTCAAAAGAACTGTTGACAACGTGGGCTAGTACACTAGTAAAACTGGGACAGCTGTTAGCGATTTTTAGAGGTTCAATTTTAGTGTCTAGTGTGGCTTTATTCTTAAGCAGGTTTATGACGTCCTGAATTTCTGTGGCAGTGACTGGCTTTAAGTAAATACTACTTGAAGTGGCGTTGCGAAGTGTGCTATGGGTTCCACCAGGATCAAAAGTGGTCCTACTACTAATTTCAGACTTAATTTTAGGAGCGATGTTTGAGAAGTAATCGTTAAATTTTTCTGCTACAGCTGCCGGAGTGCTGATTGAGCCGTCTTCGTCAGTCAGTTTAATTGAAGTAGGTTTAGATTTTTTCCTATTAAGAAGACTGTTTATCATTTGCCACTGCTTCTTAGAATTTTCTTTGTTTTGCTCAAAAAATTTTTTGAAGTGCTTGTTTTTAGCTTTATCGATGTGTTTATTACAAAACTTCTTCAGACGGTCATATTTACTGCGGTTACTATCAGATGGTTCCTTAACAAAATCATAATATGACTCATTTTTACGTTCTATAGCTTCTTCGAGCCAGGGCAGCATCCATGGTTTCGGATTAACACGTTCATTTTGTCTTCGTGATTGTCTTTTTGTGGGATAGGCGGACTCGTAAATCTTATTATAAGCCGTATTTAAATTATTGAACTGTTCGTTGGCATCATTGGTATTGTTAAAAATTTCTGACCAACTTTCATCTGTAATTAAGTCTCTGAATTTTTGATTGTTGGTGTCGTTAAATCTACGTGTTTCAGTTTGAGATACATTTTGTGAGTTAGACGCAGAGCGGTAGCTGCTGGTTGGCGTGTTATCAAGATTTATTGTAGTGACTATTGCTAAGTGATCAGACATATCTGTCGTTAAGACGTTACAGCTTATTGTATCCTCAAGATTGTTTGTGTAGATGTGGTCAATAAGCGTGGCACTATGGTCCGTTAGGCGAGTTGGGCGTGATACAATTTGAATAAAACCGTAAGAGGACGCAATATCTATAATGTTCTGACATGCTTGGTCGCTGCTGTGCTTCAGTAAATCAAGGTTGAAATCTCCATGAAGCGTCATATGTTTACGGGTGTGTCTCCCTAGGTTGTGCAGCGTATTTTTGAAAATTTCTAGAAACGCTTCAGGTCTCCTAGCGGGAGAACGGTAAACATTGCCAATTATTTTCGTTCTGTTGTATCCTTTGCACTGATGGAGCTTGATAAATTGAAATTCGCCACTAGTATTAGTTGGTTCAGGGTTTGGAGTGAAAATATCAATTTTATCATAATCGACTACACGTTTGTGTACATAAGTGGCTAGCCCCCCACCTTTTCCAGATGGGCGAATTGGATCCTGGATAAATGGTTCATGAAATCCATCTAAGGTAACGTCGTTTATTCCGTTCGGTAATTTCCCTAAAGTGCAATTAGTTTCGTTAAAACACAATATATCATACTTATCATAAGTCTCAATATCATCACGTAGTTGATCTATATTCTTAATAAGGGATCTTATGTTCATAGAAAATGTTTTAAGTTGAGAGCAGGTAGATTTTTTCACGTTACGTTGTTGTTTATACTGACAACTAGTTAGGAAAGATGAAATATTGCTCCAAGTTGAATCTTGATGCTCTTCGTTGGTCATGGCGTCGCCAATAAGATTAAATCGACTATTCTGATCGTACGGATTAAATATGTCACTATTAAGTTTACTGTAGTCGTCATAGATTTCATAGTAGGTTGCGTGAAATCCAGGAATGATACTTTCACAGCAACTCGTACAGCCTAAATTATCCTTAAAACATTTGACATGGACATTACTTTGACACCATGAGCATGTGCGAATATTTCTAATAGAGTAACACCAGCCGCTGCAGCTTGAACATTTGATCTTGACTTTATTTTCAGATGTAACAGTGGGTTCCATTTATAACTAAATATTATGATTATGATACTGATAGTATATAAAACTATAGTTCAAATCAGATTCTTTCACGAGAACCGGAGGTCCTGTATGCTACAGAATCGTGATATGATTTAAAAGTAAATTATATTATTTTAAGCTAAAATCGGATAATTAAGTGAAATAAAGTGTCCTTATCTAGGGCCTTATCAGTATGATTTAAATAACTGATTTGGCTAAAAAATAGAAATCGAATAAAGTGGTTGCTTTTGTGTTGTGTAGTTTTGTGAGGTGTTATTTGTATTTGATTTGTTTGTAGCGTTTACGTAATAAGGGACTATCGCACTGAACTTGAGTAATACTGAAGAGAACGCACTTGATTATTTATAGATTTGTATGTGAATTTTGAATATTGTATAGAGTTATGAAATCTCATTGATTTAGGATGATACAGATTTGTAGAGTAAGATGTTTTGTGTGCGATCGGGTGATAAGAGATACTGATAATGAATGAGCTTTTCAGATAATGAGAAAAATTCCACCAATCAGATCATTTCATTATAATATGATCTATCTTGGTAACGATCTGTTAAAGGTGGACTGGAAGTTGAGAAAAAAGTGAATCGCATTTTTTAATCAGAATGGTATCAATGATTTGTAAAGCGCTCAGCTTCGGTTATATCTGGAGAGACTGTTAGGCTTGTGGTGATAGAGCCACTCACAGTTCCTGTGACGTCTCTGTTCAGATCCACATAACTTGCCAACGCAGTTAACAAGTTCATGTGCCACTACCCTTTGCACCTCGTGATATAAGTGGATGCCATGTCTGTCGTTGCGGTCCCATACGTAGTATGAGTTAGCACGCTTGATCACGGCATGGGCATCGAAAAAACTCAGATTTGGAATATCCTTAGCCAGGTTCAACATTATGATATTAAAAGCGTCAATCTCTGCATTCAACCAGTTAAATTTAGTCATAGATAAAGCACAAAACATAAACTCGGTATTCTTGTTGTTGTTACAAGAGTCTATAAAACGGGGACAGAAATTGTCCGCAAGACTCCTGGCCGACTGCCCATACCTAGCTAGGTCATTAATGCCGCAGGAAAGTACGACTGCTTTAGAATGTTTGAACTCATGTTGATGTTCCAGTGAGTTCACTAGTTGATAGTTAAGGCGCTTTTGACATCGGTGGCCAGGTATCTGGTCGAACAGCCATTCTGGCGTTTCTCGGTGTATTGAGTCGTGAATTAAGAGGACTCTGGAGTGACGGGACGCTGGTGACTGTATCTGTGTAGGTGGTGCAACAGGCGGGACCCGAGTAGGGGCTGCAGGTGCTGGTAAGGCCGTGGGATCAGGCTGTTTCAACTTGCGAAGAGTGAGCGAGATTCGTGGCTGCCTTAACATAGGATCACGTTCAATGCCGTGCTGCCAGTGGTTCTGATCAGATCGAGACATTGCAAAGACAGAGCCGTGCTCAAGCGGGATGTTATGCTCAACGAAAGGGCCTGTCGACGTTGACATTCTCATAATTCTGGTAGAGCCAAATGATGCAGTGTAAATCAGACTATCTTCAACAATGCTGGATTCGCTGTCACTATGCAATGGAATACCAACTGACCCGTCCTTATAGTAAGTACAGAGGCAGGTATAGTTCGTGGGAGTAAAGTCAGGATCGGATTCATGCAAACAATCAAAAATGCGCTTTAGGACAGGTGGCAAGGGCTTATCATGGGTTGCACGGTGGTTGGTTCTGCCATAACTGTAAGGTACCGAGCCAAAATATGACGTTGAACGGCCCCCCGGGTGTTTCATGTTAAAGTCAAGCTCGCGGTAGATTTCATCAAAAGAAAGATCACCAAAGTCACAGTCCAAAAATCTTACCGGAGGTGGTGGGTTAGGTATGCTTTCTACTTCACCGGAAGGGGAGAGAGTCTGTGGAGAACTACTGCTAGCTGCTTCAACGATGAGAGAGGTCTGCTTCCTGGACTCTTCAGAGACTTCCTGGATCGCAGTGCAGGCTCGTTCCGTGATGCTGTTGACCGCCTTCTCAACCTCTTCATTAACGGTACATGAAATGAGTTTTAGACTCGCAGTTAATTTGTTCATTGTCTCGTCAGCGTCTAGGGCACATTGGCCTAATAAATGTTTCCTTAAAAAAGAAATTTTGTTGTCCGTTGTGCTTGCTTTAGTAGCACTTTTCGAAAGGAGGCGGAGTCTTTCGAACTCAAAATCTAAATCGGGAGCAGGCAGTAAGCTTAACAAGTGAAGGCATGTTGTTGCTGCAAACGTGTAATTCCCTGACACCCCAAGCCCCAACATACCGGTAGAAGGTGCTTCTGAGTCAGCGATTGACTCAGAAGCAGCTTTAGAAGCTAGTTTCTTCCTCTGGGATGATGTAGGTGTAGAGGTATTAGGTGTAGAATTTCGTCGCATGATCAGTATAAATCACAAGCTCAGTGCGATAAGAAAAGGTAGATTACAGAGGAAAAATATTGATGCGTAATGAAAGTAGTAAAATGATTGAAAATATATATAGTAGACTATAGACTTATTATTAATCAACTATATACAGCAAACACAAGATAATAGAAATTAAATCATAAAATCGAGTGGCCGAGTAGTCTCGACTCACCCATAGCTTCTCCATAAACGTCTATCATGAGCTTTGTAATCGTTAAAATTACTTAAACTAAATCTTTTATTCACAATCACAATAATTTTCTTTGTCATAATGTCTTTTAATAATAAATCAAATAAATTTAAACGAGGTCTGCCCCTCCTTCCTTTGTAGTCAAAACATCCTAAACATGCAAATCTGAAAGATAAGAAGGCGGGAGTGTCATCACCACTTCTGAGAACGTGCCCAAGCATCTTCTATCTTGCTTTCTTGATCCTTTCAGTAAGGGGTCTGACATTACATCTCTAGACTTATAAAGTGTAGAACATGTTGTATGTCCTCAAAAATAAAATGAAATAAAAATAAATTATTCACAGATTTACGTATTGAACGAAATTGCAAACCCAAAAACATAAAATTAATTTAGTTTAAAGATATATATTTTTTATTGATGCTTTTCATACAAAGTTAAAACAAATTCTTCGTTTTGTGCATCCTGGGTTTGGACAGGACATGCCCGCTTAAAATATTCCCATCACGTTACATTACATAATTCTCAATAAATGTAATAGAATTGTAGTGTTGTAATTAGTTTAATTAAGTTTCAACAAATTCAAATACAAAATATATCCTAATGAAATTATCACTAATTCAATGTTCCTTAATTTTATATTTAATCTAAAATGTTGCTTCAAAACATTTTGTAGTTTGAAGGCCTAAAAATTGTCTCGAAATTGTCCGGTCTATCGCTGCTCAGACATATAACTTTAAATGTCCTTTAGTTTCGCTATCTCATCATGAAGTGCCTCATTAGCTTATTGCATTTTGGAATGCAGTCTTTTCACAGTAGTTGATGTTCTGATTGTTGCTCAACTATAAGCGCCCTGAAATTATCAATGTAAAACTTCGCTCCAGTAGGTACAACAAACAACTATTTCATCATTAATTACCTGCAGTGTCACAAAGTTAATCACTAGTGTCATAAAGTTAATTACCAGTGTTACAAAGTTAATTGATTATATAATAACTTAAACACTATTTTATGCTGATTTCAATCCTGTTTTCACCCAAATGTCATCCTATAATCACTGTGCTCAAAGATTTGAAGTAGTTGAATGAGCAGTTTAATTTGAGAAAGCGCCCGTTGGTTAGCATTTGAATATTCATGTTTTAGGGTCGTTTACCTGGCCTGATGAACGTGGGTTTCTTTGCCTTACTTTGCATGGAGAAAAGAACAGCTCCTTCTTGGTTTACAATATTTGAATAATCATGTTTTAAGGTGACATTACCTGGCCTGCTGTTTTCTCTTACCTTGTGTGGACGAAGGAACCGCGTTTTGGGCTGTGTCTGCAAGATACATTAGGTCCAACTTTAACAATACACCTGTAAATGTCCATGTTAAGTGTGACATAACACTATACCCTGGATTGTTCTGAGATACTAAAGTAAGAACTTTTGTCTTTCCCTCAGAAAGGCTAGTGTAAATTCAAAATCACAGATTAGCTAAGATAAAGATACTTTAAAGGATCAATTCTTATCTTGGGTATTTGAGAATGATTGTGAACAAACTCAGAAATAGCAAAAAAATTCTCCAACATTGTATTGTCAGTGAAACAAGGCTAATCGCTAAGTACAATGAAAAGCACAATCATTCGATCAAAATATTATATGTCTTACCATCAAGTTACACTTAATAGGTCCGACGGACCTAAGGTCCGTGTTAGTACACTTGCTGTCGTCGAGAAGAATCTGATCCGGTTCATGACGAGAGTTGCTAATAAGCTCCGACATATCTCGTCCGCTTTTATCTTTTTAAAATATAATGAGTCTACGTCAACACCTGTGATGGTGAATTGTTGTGAATATCATATTATTTAACCTCACTAACCTCACTAATTTCACTAACCTCACTAACCTCACTAACCTCACTAACCTCACTAACCTCACTAACCTCACTAACCTCACTATCCTCACTAACTTAACAATCCTCACTAACCTCACTAATCTCACTAACCTCACTAACCTCACTAACCTCACTATCCTCACTAAACTCACTAACCTCACTAACCTCACTAAACTCACTAACCTAACTAACCGCACTAACCGCACTAACTTCACTAACCTCACTAACCTCACTAACTTCACTAACCTCACTAACCTCACTAACGTCACTAACCTTACTAACCTCACTAACCTCACTAACCTCACTAACCTCACTAACTTCACTAACCTTACTAACCTCACTATCCTCACTAATCTCACTAACCTCACTAACCTCACTAACCTCACTAACCTCACTAACCTCACTAACCTCACTATCCTCACTAACCTAACTATCCTCGCTAACCTCACTAACCTCACTAACCTCACTAACCTCAATTGAATTGAACATTGTTACACTAATAACTTTTTGTGAATGTCAAATATCGATTTAAGTCCACAAATATTTTGCAAGAAGATCTTAACAAGTGAATAAGTAAATAAACAATATTTTTAGGTAACTTACTTTATTGATACTGGTGATATAGTTTCGCTACATCATCATTTACTTCATTGCTTCAGGAAGGCAGCCTTTTCGCAGTTGTTCTTTGTTACTAAATTATAAGCACCTGAAATTATCAATGTACAAATTTGTTGCAATACAACAAAAACTTATTTTGTCATTAATCTTCACCTATCAGTATCACAATGGTGTTACAAAGTTAATTGAATATAATACCAACATACTATTTTTGCTGATTTCCTCCTTGTTTCTAACGAACCGATTGTTTTACTGTAATCACTTTGCTTTTCCAGATGCACCATAATATAGATTTGAAGTAGTCGGATTCTAACAATACTCATAAGTAATATTGAATCATGAGCCGTTTAACTTTATTTTGAGAAAGCCCCCGTTGGTCTATAGTATTTAAATATTCATGTTTTAGGGTGCCATTACCTGACCTGATAAACGTTGGTTTCTTTGTCTTACCTTGTATGGACGAAGGAACAGCTCCTTCTTGCGGTGTCTGTATGAAACATAAGGATCGTTTACAGCAATAAACCTGCAAATGTCTTTGTGAAATGTGACATTAATATATATATATAAACTATATTCTGGATTGTTGAGTGATTTTAAGGTTAGAATTTCGTCTCTCCCATTTCACAAATGTCTTTGTGAAATGTGACATTAAACTATATTCTGGATTGTTGAGTGATTTTAAAGTTAGAATTTCGTCTCTCCCTCGAAAACCAAGTGTAAGTTCAAAATCACAGATTAGTTAAGATAAAGATACTTTTAAGGATCAATTCTTATTTTGGGTATTTGAGAATGATTGTGAACAAACTCAGAAATAGCAAAAAAATTCCCCGACATTAAATCGTCAGTAACACAAGGCTAATCATTAAGTACCATAAAACGCACAATTATTCGATCAGGAGATTGAGTATCTTACCATCAACTTACACTTAATAGGTCCGTGTTAGTACACTTGCTGTCGTCGAGAAGAATCTGATCCTCTTCATGACGAGAGTTGCTAATAAGCTCCGACATATCTTGTCTGCTTTTATCTTTTTAAGGTATAATGAGTCTACGTCAACACCTGTGATGGTGAATTGTTTTGAATTTTTACTCCACCATGTGGAGAATTAGCTGATAACAAGAAAAACGCAAGAAAAACGCAAGAAAAACGATAGCTAATCGAGAAATAACATTCAAATTATATCATGGCCTCAGCTGCAAAATGAATACGTGATGCTACACCAACATAAATGTGTTCGATAATTTTCCTTCGTTCAATATTCCGTTAACTTACGTTTTTATGTTCTTAACTGAGGTTGCCATCTTAAACTAGGATCGTACGCTTCTTTTTTACTGGGTTAACTGCGTCTTGGAAAGAATTGAACATTGTTACACTAATAGTTTTTGTGAATTTCAAATATCGATTTAAGTCTACAAATATATTGCAAGAAGATCTTAATAAGTGAATAAGTAAATAAACAATAATTTTAGGTAACTTACTTTATTGATACTGGTGATTTAGTCTCGCTAGCTCATCATTGTACTTCATTGCTTCAGGAAAACAGCCTTTTCACAGTTGTTCTTTGTTTCTCAATTATAAGCACCTGAAATTATCAATGTAAAAATTTGTTCCAGTACAACAAAAACCTATTTTATCAATAATATTCAGTGTCACAATGGTGTTACAAAGTTAATTGATTATATTTATATAATACCAACATACTATTTCTGCTGATTTCCTCCTTGTTTCTAACGACCCAATTGTTATACTGTAGTCACTTTGCTATTCCAGATGCAACATGATATAGATTTGAAGTAGTCGGATTCTAATATAAGTAATGTTGGATCGTGAGCCGTTTAACTTTATTTTGAGAAAGCCCCCGTTGGTCTATAGTATTTAAATATTCATGTTTTAGGGTGCCATTACCTGACCTGATAAATGTTGGTTTCTTTGTCTTACCTTGTATGGACGAAGGAACAGCTCCTTCTTGCGGTGACTGTATGAAACATTAGGATCGTTTTACGTTTACAGCAATAAACCTGCAGATGTCTTTGTTAAATGTGACAGTAAACTATATTTTGGATTGTTGAGAGATATAAAGGTTAGAATTTCGTCTCTCCCTCAGAAAAGCTAGTGTAAGTTCAAAATCACAGATTAGCTAAGATAAAGATACTTTAAAGGATCAATTCTTATCTTGGGTATTTGAGAATGATTGTAAACAAACTCAGAAAAATCAAAAAATGTCCCCAACATTAAATTGTTAGTAAAACAAGGCTAATCGTTAATTACTATAAAACGCACAATTATTCGATCAAAAGCTTGAGTGTCTTACCATCAACTTACACTCAAAAGCTTGAGTGTCTTACCATCAACTTACACTCAATAGGTCGGTGTAAGTACACTTGCTGTCGTGGAGGAGAATCTGATCCGCTTCATGACGAGAGTTGCTAATAAGCTCCGATATATCTCGTCTGCTTTTATCTTTTTAAGATTTGTGGAGTCTACGTCAACACCTGTGATGGTGAATTGTTGTTTATTTTTACTAGACCATGTGCAGAAATAGCTGATAACAAGAAAAAAAGCAAGAAAACGATAGCTAATCGAGAAATAAAATTTAAATTATATCATGCGCTCAGCTGCAAAAGGAATACGTGACGCTACGCCAACATAAAAGTGTTCGATAATTTTCCTTCGTTCAAAATTCCGTTAACTCACGTTTTCATGTTCTTAACTTAGGTTGCCATCTTAACATAGGATCGTACGCTTCTTTTTTACTGGGGTAACTGCGTCTTGGAAAGAATTGAACATTGTTACACTAATAGGTTTTTGTGAATGTCAAATATCGATTTAAGTCTACAAATATTTTGCGAAAAGATCTTAACAAGTAAATAAGTAAATAAACAATAATTTTAGGTTACTTACTTTATTGATACTGGTGATTTAGTCTCGCTACCTCATCATTGTACTTCATTGCTTCAGGAATGTAGCCTTTTCACAGTTGTTCTTTGTTATTCAATGCACCTTATAAACACCTGAAATTATCAATGTACAAATTTGTTCCAGTACAACAAAAACCTATTTTATCAATAATATTCAGTGTCACAATGGTGTTACAAAGTTAATTGATTATATAAAGATATAATACCAACACACTATTTCTGCTGATTTCCTCCTTGTTTCTAACGACCCAATTGTTATACTGTATTCACTTTGCTATTCCAGATGCACCATGATATAGATTTGAAGTAGTCGGATTATAATATAAGTAATGTTGGATCGTGAGCCGTTTAACTTTATTTTAAGAAAGCCCCCGTTGGTCTATAGTATTTAAATATTCATGTTTTAGGGTGCCATTACCTGACCTGATAAATGTTGTTTTCTTTGTCTTACCTTGTATGGACGAAGGAACAGCTCCTTATTGCGGTGTCTGTATGATACATTAGGATCGTTTACAGCAATAAACCTGCAAATGTATTTGTTAAAACTTAAATGTGACATTAAACTATATTCTGGATTGTTCTGAGATATTAAGGTTAGAATTTCGTCTCTCCCTCAAAAAAGCTAATGTAAATTCAAAGTCACAGATTAGCTAAGATAAAGATACTTTAAAGGATAAATTCTTATCTTGGGTATTTGAGAATGATTGTAAACAAACTCAGAAATAGCAGAAAAATTCCCCAACATTAAATCGTCAGTAACACAAGGCTAATCGTTAAGTACTATAAAACGCACAATTATTCTATCAAAAGCTTGAGTGTCTTACCATCAACTATCACTCAATAGGTCCGTGTTAGTACACTTGCTGTCGTCGAGAAGAATGTGATCCGCTTCATGACGAGAGTTGCTAATAAGCTCCGACAAATATCGTCTGCTTTTATCTTTTAAGATATACGGAGTCTACGTCAACACCTGTGATGGTAAATTATTGTGAATTTTTACTCGACCAAGTGGAGAATTAGCTGATAACAAGAAAAACGCAGGAAAACGATAGTTAATCGAGTAATAACATTAAAATTATATCATGGGCTCAGCTGCAAAAGGAATACGTGATGCTACGCCAACATAAAAGTGTTCGATAATTTTCCTTCGTTCAATATTCCGTTAACTTACGTTTTCATGTTCTTAACTTAGGTTGCCATCTTAACATATGAGCGTACGCTTCTTTTTTACTGGGGTAACTGCGTCTTGGAAAGAATTGAACATTGTTACACTAATAAGTTTTTCTGAATGTCAAATATCGATTTAAGTCTACAAATATTTTGCGAGAAAATCTTAACAAGTGAATAAGTAAATAAACAATAATTTTAGGTAACTTACTTTATTGATACTGGTGATTTAGTCTCGCTAGCTCATCATTGTACTTCATTGCTTCAGGAAAACAGCCTTTTCACAGTTGTTCTTTGTTTCTCAATTATAAGCACCTGAAATTATCAATGTAAAAATTTGTTCCAGTACAACAAAAACCAATTTTATCAATTATATTCAGTGTCACAATGGTGTTACAAAGTTAATTGATTATATTTATATAATACCAACATACTATTTCTGCTGATTTCCTCCTTGTTTCTATCAAACCAATTGTTATACTGTAATCAGTTTGCTTCTCCAGATGCACCATGATATAGATTTGAAGTAGTCGGATTCTAATATAAGTAATGTTGGATCGTGAGCCGTTTAACTTTATTTTGAGAAAGCCCCCGTTGGTCTATAGTATTTAAATATTCATGTTTTAGGGTGCCATTACCTGACCTGATAAACATTGGTTTCTTTGTCCTACCTTGTATGGACGAAGGAACAGCTCCTTCTTGCGGTGGCTCATGGCTGTGTGATACATTAGGATCGTTTACAGCAATAAACCTGCAAATGTCTTTGTTAAATGTGACATTAAACTATATTCTGGATTGTTGAGAGATCTAAAGGTTAGAATTTCGTCGCTCCCTCAAAGAAGCTGGTGTAAATTCAAAATCACAGATTGGTTAAGATAAAGATACTTTAAAGGATCAATTCTTATCTTGGGTATTTGAAAATGATTGTAAACAAACTCAGAAAAATCAAAAAATGTCCCCAACATTAAATTGTCAGTGAAACAAGGCTAATCGTAAATTACTATAAAACGCACAATTATTCGATCAAAAGCATGAATGTCTTACCATCAACTTACACTTAATAGGTCCGTGTTAGTACACTTGCTGTCGTGGAGAAGAATCTGATCTGCTTCATGACGAGAGTTGCTAATAAGCTCCGACATATCTCGTCTGCTTTTATCTTTTTAAGATATAAGGAGTCTACGTCAACACCTGTGATGGTATGTTGTTGTGAATTTTTACTCGACCTCGTGGAGAAATAGCTGATAACAAGAAAAACGCAAGAAAAACGATAGCTAATCGAGAAATAACATTAAAATTATATTATGGGCTCAGCTGCAAAAGGAATTCGTGATACTACGCCAACATTGATGTGTTCGATAATTTTCCTTCGTTCAATATTCTGTTGACTTACGTTTTCATGTTCTTAACTAACTAGGTCGCCATCTTAACATAGGATCGTACGCTTCTTTTTTACGAAATTAAAAACTTAAAACTCAATTTCTTTATCAGTTTTTAAGAAATTGATAGAAATTATCAAGGTTTATCGATGAGAATAGATGTAATCTTAGTTTAACCAAATTGATTTACCAATGTGCTAATGTGTAATGCAAAAATACTGCTGCACTAAACAGTAAATTAGTAAAACGTTTCATTGCTAAAATATGCAATCGTTTTTAGGGAAAGTTTAATTATATAGCTTCATTATCCAAATATAAACTCTCAAATTAAACTGTGAGCAAACCTGGTTGGAAGCTGATTGAGATCCATTGGTTATCGCCATCTGTTTATCTTTTAGTCTTGATACAATCGTCATTTTCGGTATACTTCATCTGAAATATGACAAAAACAGTTAATTGATATCAATTTCACTCTAGAAATAAGCTATAAACTTATAAAATACTCATTCTTTTTTCATATTTTATGTAAAATTTGAGTATGATATGTTACATTTATTTCGAGCTATTAGATGAAAACATGAAACTTGTAAATGAATTTATCCCTTATTTTTGTCAATTATGGCAATCAGGAATTGGGTTCTCGCGATAAACATGCAGTCATCACTTTAAGTTTACTTACTTGTGACCCTCGATAGAAATCCCCTCTAATCCCCCGCAAAAACTTAACGGTCGAGTATATTTGTTCGCTGAGTTTCAAACCGGCGTCTCATAACGTTGACTGCTAAAATTTGTATAGTTGATCTTAAATTTCAGTGTTCATCCTACTGGCTTTATATAAAGAAACAAAAGATATCTTAGTTAATAAATATTATATCTGGTTAAAACTCCGAGCTCATATCATGTCAGTATTTACAGTGCGCGCGAAGTGCATGGGTACACATTTTTTGCTCTGCAACCGAAAGTCTTAAACATCCTGAAATAAAGATGTTCGGTTAGGGCTATCATCTAATAAAAACTTTTTAGATTAGTCCAATGAATCAGTTGTGGGATATAAAGAAACTTAAAAAAGCTTCATTGTTTGTTTTTACACATATTTCACTTTAATCTTCTAATGTAAACCGTGAACATATCCTACCTACTATAAATAGGTATATAGTAAGAATTATGAGTAGTCTCACCTTGTTTCCCGATTACCACTATCTCATGCTCAATGAGGCTATAACCATACATATTCTCTAGCTTCACCGTATCTCCGTATTTGCAGCCGTATTTGGAAGCAGGTGATAGGTTATCAGGTGCTGGTTCCTCTGTGTACACTGTGAGGGCCTCTTTGCTATTACAGCCACCCTCACAGGTACTACAGTCTCTGATAGAGCAGGTCCAGGTGAGGAAAGGATTACCTCTACTACTAAGCGACATCACTTGTTCCACACAGTGAACCTGGTCTAGTGTTATCTTTAACCAGCTTTTACCGTCAGAACCCTTGTCTGTCCCGGAATAAGTCTCCAGGTCAAGGTCTATAGCGTGGTGAGCAGCGTACTTCTCCTCGTTATCATCGTAAGTGCAGGACTGTGCAGCACTGACTGGGACTATCTCACCATCCAGTCTTTTTCTCTTAGCTGCAATAACACGTATAATTATACAGTACCTTTACAATATGTAACTAACGATATTTTTAACTGGCTACCGTTCGAGCACAAGTTTTTGTTACAAAACAGTTTTAATAAAGTAATAATTTCAATTATCATATTAGTATTACGAATAATTTGAGCTAGCCTGATGGTATTCAGAAAATGCATTAATGTAATGTACTGTGAGCTGGTCATAACACACAAGTCCAAACGCCATCATTTCATTTTTATTATAATAACCTTATGTAGTTATTGACTACTAGTAGTAGTACTGATGCGTAGGTTTATAATACAAGATTTATTGAAGGAACACGTCAATATTCATACAACGATTACTAATCTGCGTTACTCATACATTATCAGTGGCGTAACGTTGCCTGTTGACGCCCCCCCCCCCCCCCCCCCCTGCCGAAAAAGCGCCCCCCTGTTGGCGCCCTCTCCCATTTTGGTGCCCCTCCCTAAAATTGCAAACAAATTAGGTGATTTTAGAGGATACGACAGTAAGTTTTGCTAGTACTTTAGTTAAGTTTTAGATATTGTCCGTCCAACATTCCCGCGGGGTAGCCAAGCCCATATTTGGTCCAAATTAGGCCGAATTTATCCAAATACCCTGAACATGCCCCATATCCATAGTTTATGTACTCTACTTGTAGCTAATGATCTCCTGAACTCGTATATGAAATTTCATCAAGATTTGACAACAAATGGCTGAGTTATGAGCAAAAAACCAATATGCCTCAAAAACATTTGGCGGCAAAATTTCAAAATTTTCTCAGAAAAATTCAGCCCCCCCCCCCCCCCCCCCCATGAAAGTGAGAAAGTGGTCATTTAAGAGCAATAACTTATATGAAACCTACCACATTGAGCAGGAGAGAAGAGTAGGTGAAACGTTAGTAGAAGAAATATCGACATTTCTCTGTAGAAATAATTATTTTCAGTTTGAGTTAGCTTAAAGTTTAAATTTCACAAAGCAATTTTAAAATGATGCGTTTAAAAACAAAGCTCACATTCTACTCATAACAACGATACTATATCTAGACATTAATTTCAATATAGTTTTTTGTTAATTCTGTTAGTTTCATTCAATTCAGTTGTTTTCAGTTTATTTCAGTAAATTTTCAGTATAAAAATTATACCATTTAACAAACTTCGTCCTCTTCTGAAATGGGAATAACATCCGGTGACCGACAACTAAGAACCTCTCATTCCGGGCTCCCACAGGTATCACATCACATGGCCCAATCAGTGACGTATCATCGGTGATGTGATCCATATGGCATTTACGCTATCATTGAGGAAGAGGCTGAAATGGTCTGAGTGCAGTTATGAAGACCGATTAAACCCGCCTGAACAAAGGAACACACAGTGCTGTTAGGAAATATAGCGAACTGAGATGAGTTACACAGAGTGGTATTGCTTTAACAAAGGATGGCAAGGATTACACAATTTTTTTGATGTATCTCACCTATATGAGGATTGATTATTTATCTAGAAATTCTTTACAGTGGAATAATATGTGCCATTGAACCCCTCCCCTTAAGGATCTCGACATGACCCCGCACCACTCTCTGAACCCCACCTTAAGATCCCACCAATCTGTTTTAGCTTACCTCCACTATAAACAGTCTGACTCAGACGGTGGAGCTAATGGCGATGTGGGGAGATTCAGTTAGTGACCGGTGTTTTATTTGGACTTTATTTTAAACGTGAATTTATCATGATACTGATCCAATTCTACGTTTTGATGTCATTATCTGGGATTATAATCACGAGAATCTATAATTTTATCAATTATTAAAACCTCAGCCCCCGATTGTAAAAAATATTTCTCAAACAGAGACTCAAACAGAAACTCAATATTATCTGCTGCAAATAACATACCTCAACTCTCGGAGTAGCTCGGAGATTGCTGACCTGTCTCAAGATGATATCGAGCTAGATGGTGAGTGGAAATAACACGTGATAATGACACCTGATAATGACACGTGATAATGACACGTGATGTTACGACAGCAGGTGTAACGGGACATGATGATAGAGCGGAAGTTCATTATATGTATAGACAAAAACAAATTATTCGGAGTTTTTATTTATTATTAGATTATTATTTCCTGTGGTATTTTCACGTAATCGCACCCAGATTTGGGTTTAGATGCATGTGTCAGGTTGTGGGTAGAAAATATCAAACGCCCACGTGATAAGCACGTGACAGGTGGTAAAAGTGAGTTTAGAGCTCTGCATGGTTAGTTCAGATTGTGTGTTCTAGTGTTCTAGTGTGTTCTAGTCACTTGTTTTAGTGTGTTATAGTATGTGATGGTGACCTTTCTTGTATGCTAGCCTTTCCCTTGATTTTTGGCTCTGAAAATTATTGAGTCTCGCAGTATGACATGCCAATCTATACAAATACACTTACATAACTTAAACATCAGTCCAATATGCATGCTACTGTAAGTAATAGCAATCCATGCATTCTTCTCGGCAGTTTTATCTTAATTAAAACACTTCATCTCAATTTAATTATGGCCATAGTTGATAAAAACTCCCTATAATTTCTAAAGTTTCAATAAATTGCTCTTCTGGAAATTCCAAAAATAAAAGCGTTAACGAGATTTGACTGAAAATAATTTCTACCCGTCACATACAAAATATGTCACGTGACTAAACCCATATCTCAGGGAGTGATACGAAGGAAACGTCACAAGGGAGGAAGTCTAAAGGGAACTTAGTTAGTCCCTGGGTACTATAAAACGAGTGTTTGGAAAATGAAATCAGATCCTATAAAATAATGAATGTTGTACCAAGCACCTGCTATTGGACCTTAGGATCCGAACCAAAAGACCTGGCATGTTACTTAACTATCCGAGATAGGGGTTTCAATGGTAAAAAAAACTTGTAATGGGCATACCGTAGTCAAAGTGAGTAACGGGCAGTACAACCCATCATACTGCACGTCTCCTAAAGTCCTAAATACACAATACTCAAGGTCCAGGGGAGTCAGAAGGATGTCACTTTGAATGTTTTATTCATTAACCAGGTCGAATTGGGCAATTAAAACCGTCAAGGATATTTAAAGTATTAGGACGTTTTGGCATGAATTTTAACTGGGGGAGGTTGCCCATCTCGCAATTGAAGTATTAAGAATATATATCCAATAAAACCTTATCACTGAATCACGTGACTTGATTCCATGTCCGTTATTGGCCCTCAGGAGGCTCAGTACTATGCTCCATATTCATGATAACCAGGTTTTGTGCGAGCAAATTTTATTCCGGATAGGTGCGTTGACATGGGACTAGGGATTTGTTTAATAAAGAGTTCATCTTTGAGCACTTGTCTGCTTGGCGACAAGAATTCAACAATAGATCACATACTGAAAAGGTGTCCCAAACATTCACACACAGAATAAGTAATTGACTGTCAAAGCGTCTATATATTATACATATATC